AACTAATTTTCGCCAGCCGAAATGTTGGTGCATCTCTAATTATTGGCAACATCAGAAATGGATAATATATAATAGATGCTTTTTTGAACATTTTAGCAATTTAAAAATATTAAAAAATGTTTTTTTTACACGGCACCCCTGCTCTCGACAGACGGCACCCCGGTTGGGAAACACTGCTCTAAAATGCTAATTCTTCTCTATGCAGAAAATGCAAGTACTTTATTCAGATGTGAAGAGAATTGCAGATGCATGTCTGTTAGCAATCTCCTGGCAATGGATTTGTAGGTGTGGTGGGTTTGTGTAGTTTAGGGCGTCTCTTTTCCATATTTGATGCTTCTGTCTAGAGATGCTAACAATTAAAAAGGAAACATCTGCACAACTTAGATTCTCCTTCAACACGATCACTTCTTCCGGCATTTTCACTCTTGGGTATGTTGACACTTTTGAGATGGTCACAGATGGCCCTTCCTAATTTTAGTTCATAACGAACGTGTGTACCTGACATTCATTTAGCCTGCTTCACTTCAGTGATATAACACATTATGTCAAAGGAGTAGCCTAGTCTACATGATGTATGTTGTCTGGTCAATATCATAATTTAAATCACACTCACACTCAAATATGGTGTTTCGAGCAGATGTTGTTTCAGCTCATTGTTATTTTAGTCCAGTGCCTGTATTACCTAAACTTTTGCATGTCTGCGCATGCTTCACGATCTGTGTTGCTGCATGTTGATATGATTTTTTTAATCTATTGACAGCCCTGGTTTAAATACATACGATTTAAATATGTGATTTTTATTTAAATAATCTTCAGTGTGAGCTCTCTCTTATATAGAGAGGTTTCTTTTAGGTGATTGTTGCAGAATGACTGATGCATCATAGAGCAGATTTATATAAGTGTTTGTAAAATACTGTAAGTAGCTAAAATGCAACTTGATATTTCCTTGGGAAACATCCTGCTTCAGGTTCCTGCTGACAAATAAACACATTGTATTACACCAAATACACAACATAATGTTCTTTTTAGCAACATCATATGACCCCTTTAACATCAGGCTTTATTGACACAGTGGCACAGAGTGGTTGATGCAGGAGACAACCAGACAAACCTGCATATTAGCACATTATCCACCGTCGTAATATAGACCAAGTGAGAGAGATAAGGTTTTGTTTGAGAGATTGAATGTTTTTCAGTCAGTTTATTTAGGAATGGTCACTATATTGATCATTATATTGTTGTTTTGTTTCAGGACAGCATAATTCAGTGGGTAGCTGGTGTTGTTCTGCAAATAAGGTGGCACTTTAAAATGTTTAGCACTTGGTCTTTGCTTTGAGTCTCAGGTGTGTGTGAGTAATGTTATGAAATATTTATTTGGCAAGCTCTGGTATGAACTAGAGAAATTATGTCAGTTGAATCGCGTGCTGCGATCATGTAGATGAGGCGGGCCACTTTGCCAAGTTTGATCTGAAATCCCCTCACGGTCCTTGCCTGTTCATTGGCTCTCACATCAAAATTGGACATGTTTGAATACATGCCAACCTGAAGGTCTTGAGGTTTTGTTAGTACAAACTGGTGCTTTCCCCAGAGCTGGAGGACGACAGGTGGAGTTGACTGTAAGTGCTTTTTTACATCGCTCACTAGCAACGTCTTTGGGGAGCAGTCATGGCCAAAAATGGCCACTACTGTGTTGAAGGATGGGTGGATGTGTTTTGGCCCGTATACCCCAAGAGTGACCTTTTTTACGACATGTTCCCAGACTGTGTTGTATGGGGCCAACGTTTGTGCTTGGGCAACTACAGAGACATACATGCAAGGCTCTAAATTGTCCAGAGTTACTTGAACTGTGTCTCCATACATGTATACATGTGGAATAGGGACATACGGACCTTCCTTGAAGTCGCTTCTCACACACACCACCTCTGCGGTTTTGCGGCTCTCTATCTTTACTACAACAGAAACCTTCATCTCTAAAGCGACCGGGGTCTTGGTTTCCATGTTACTGAGTTTTACTTCTACCACTGGACTTACGGTAGTACATCTATCGTTGTTAAGCTCCAACGGTGGATCCAGAAGTGCCTTCAGCGATATCTGCTGAGTCTCACCCGGTGCAACGTGACCCTCGGGAATATATATACTGATACTGGTATTTGGTAGCTGCACGGCACCACCAGAACTGTCCAGTTTGCACACAATATTGGCCTCTATTGGCTGGGTTTGCCCCCAACCTGGGTTTTGTCCAATGGAGTCCAGGTCATGGCAGGATCTTGTAAGTTTACGGTGATTTAGCCATGCCGTTTTGAAATCCTCTCTACTTTGAAAATGCTCAGGTTTAGGTGACTTCAAGCCACCAAAAAAACTCAAGGAACCTTGATTCCCATCAGACAGGGACTGCAGGACAGACAGTTCTGACATGCTATAGCAACGCTTACTCATAAAAAACGGATTGTCTCTGCGAAAATTTAGGCCAATCCCTGAGCCAGGGCTAATATTGTGCGTGTCAAGTAGCCCACTTTCAAAGCCATTAATATTAATAGTGCTGCTGGTGTTTGAGATGGGAGGTGAGAGATTATCTAAACACAAAGCATTTGCTGAATTCTGGTTGCTGTTTTGGTCAGGGGCACCTTGCAGCGTGCCATTTAGGAAAGGGTTAGTTGACATCCGTTTATTAACAAAAGGATGGTCATTATTAGATTCTGTGGTTTTGGTGGACCCCGTCCACTCCCCCGAGATATCCATTTCTCTCACCCCCTCAGAAATGTCACTTAGGCTGTCAATCATGCCGCTATCACTGAACGTGAAATCTCGATAATTGATCGGCTGGACATAAGCAGCTGGGATATATCCCATCTCTTTACTGTTGTGTGCATACCACCACTCTTCACCCGATGTGTCTATAACATAAAGACAGTCTCCCTTTGAGAATTTGAGTGTGGTAAAGCTGGATGGACAGTAATCCTTAATGGCAATCACTTCCCTGACAGCTCCAAATGAGGCAGTAGCATCCAGTCGTAAGGCACTAGGTGAAGGCACTGTAAAAAAAAAAAAAAAGAAAAAGTGAATGAGGGTAATACTAGAAGTTAACACTATGCTGATTGTGAGGTAAAAATAAGAAAGGAAACCTTTAAAATCTGTAAGGGTGGCCTCTGGCACTCCTTCACTGAGATCAATAAGTGCACCCTCAGATCTGCAGCGAGGGAGCACAGTGTTGTTGTTCACTGATCGAATGCGATGGGCAGCCATGGTGTGTATTTCTACCAAACTCCACTTCTTGTCTCAAGTTTTTCTTCCCATGTTTGTTTCAGTGTGAGAAATCAATGGCCTTCCATAATATCTGTCACAAAGTAAAGGTGAAAGGACATTATAAGTTTGCTTTTTTATTTCTGCTGAATATATTCTTTAAGGAAATTTGATATTGTTTGCACAATAAAACACCAGAGATGAACCAGGAGTTCAAGAAAATGAAAAGAATAAACTGTAAAAATTTCATAAGAATATTCATGTGTAATTCTTAAAAAAAATAATTAGTTCTCAAATATTTTCTAAAAACATTAATTTTTTTTCCTAATGTTAATTTTGTATCAGTCCTTTTCCGATTAAGAAATGATCAGAACAAGCATTCATCAACAAGGATTATATGCTGTTGACTGTGATGACTATATATTTTTTTTCCATTTAGTGTTAATTAGTAATTTAATCACAGTAAGATTGTAAAGTAACTCGTACAACTCTTTCCATATTGGTCTATATCAGGCATATAAGGCAAATTTCAGTTTTATGGCCTCATTCCACTTATCCTAAACCTAAGAGAGCCTACACTTTGCCACTACTTGTCTTGAAGTAAGGCTAATAAGGGCAGAAATATTTGCTCTTGTCCAGACACGTCTACTTTATTCGTGACATCCTCTTGAACATAAACAGAGAATAAAAGGCCCTGGTCTCTATGAAGGGTTGCACAATAAATATAGCCTGAAATCAAAGTTGCTACATTTGTTCCTCTTTTTTTATGTTAATTATTATATTTCTATTTATTTTTTTGTATTTTTGTGCAATGACTTATGTTATCCAATGATTGCTTCAAAAATTGTGCAAAGTGTTTGAATTATTCATTTATAAATAGAAGTTCCATCTGAGCTGCTTTGCAGTATGCAAGCTTAAGGCTTAAACGTTGCTTGCTTTTAGTAATCAAAAGTAGGATAGTGTTTGAGTGGAACTCGGCATCCTCTTAAGTCTGATCATGAACTGTAAAGGCTCTCCAGCAATACACATCAGTGGTTTCCATGGCTACCACCTTGGGGAACAAAGCACACACAGTGAATTGCCTTTAGAGAAAATGCCCAGCTGTAGCCTACTGGGAATGTCTCACGCACAACAGTCTGAAATATTATGAAACTACTAACTAAAAAAGCAAAGCCACTTAGGCTGCCTTACTGGTAAGGGTTACAGTTTTATATGCAATGTTAAGACTGTTCATACAGAAATACACCATATAAGGTACAAATATTGGCTTAAATCAGCAAATGGGTAGCAGTCATGTTCTGCTCTGTAAATAATTATATGAGAGATATTACTAGAAATTTACATGCAGTAAACATTTAGATATTTTTTTTTCAGAACTGGACAAAATGTTTCTGAAAATTGCATGGTAAAATTGCTGTTGTGGGTAGAGCCTGACTTTAAAAAGATTTCACTTTTATTTATTTGTGTGTGTGTGTGTGTTTATAAGGGCTGCAGGATCTGCTCTGTGAAAGACCAATTGTACCACCTTTTGTTTCAGAAATACAGAGGAAATGCCTGTGAAATAAGGATGTGCTGCATTTCCCAAAACTTACATTGCACAATCATATTTTAGCAAACACCTTCAGGGTATGATAGAACATACCGGTCTATGACATCAAGAGAATTTCAGTGTATATTGTTAAATTAATTGCTAACGTCATAGACCTTTATGCATCAGTGGACATTTTCAGGACTGAACTTGTCTTACAAGCATACAGAGTTTTGAAGCATGACGGCTGCTTTTTGGTGACATGGCTTTCTACAATATTTAAACAATATGAATTGCTAAAATACCACAGTAATGTTTAATCATGTGCCAAATAAAAGAAATAAAAAAAAAACATATAAAAAACTTTTTTTTTTGAAGTATGGTACATTCCAGACAGAGTTCAAAACATCTGTACCATGTTTTATAGTAAAGTATTTTCCCACATATCTAAAAAATGTAGGCCTATGTAGATGACTTATGAGGAGAAATGGGGAAGAAAATCATGTTCAGACTGTTTAATTAAACATTAATTATGCGAAACTAGTATATATTATTTAAGATGAACTTCTCAGTTCAAGGTTTGAGTCCTGATACTAATAAAATTAGCATCGGTTACAGTTACATTGATCAGTCTAAAATAGGGCGCAAAGGACATTTTTCTGGCATTTCTCTAGTTATGCAGTTTTTTAGGGCTAAATGCAAGTTTTAAACTCTGAAACAGTGAGTTCAGATTCTTTATAAGATAAAAGACTGTCTCCGGTGGCTGGATGAACAAGTTGAAACGGATTGTGAAATCCTAGGAAACAGATGAAGACATTCAGAAGACCTACCTACAGACTTGCAAGTTTCAAATGTCAAACACGGCGAAAATTGCCCAAAGGTTTGAGTCCTGATACTAATAAAATTAGCATCGGTTACAGTTACATTGATCAGTCTAAAATAGGGCGCAAAGGACATTTTTCTGGCATTTCTCTAGTTATGCAGTTTTTTAGGGCTAAATGCAAGTTTTAAACTCTGAAACAGTGAGTTCAGACTCTTTATAAGATAAAAGACTGTCTCCGGTGGCTGGATGAACAAGTTGAAACGGATTATGAAATCCTAGGAAACAGATGAAGACATTCAGAAGACCTACAGACTTGCAAGTTTCAAATGTCAAACACGGCGAAAATTGCCCATTAACTAGATCTAAAGTGTCAGAAACAGCAGTTGTGAGTTCAGCTGTAAGTTCAGCAAGGAAAGTAGCAACTCAGTGGCAGACAGCGACGCGAACAGCCACACACCACTAATCGATGAAAAGCTTAAGCCGGATGAAGAAATAAAAGCCAAAACATATAAATTATACTTACTTTTTTGAAGATGCGGTCAGTCTCTTGAGTATGGACCGTTATGTGCGTCTCAGTCTCTCACGCGCTTCACTGTACAGTTGGAGAAGCTGCGTGACGTCATCATCCAGGAGGAGTCCCGGACTGAAAACACGGACAATCCCTGTGACTCTTTACAGCTTTTCAACTGCCATAATAATTTACACGCCAAGATTTATTGTGTTAAGGTATATACCTCATTATCCCATAAATGTACTTGAATGTTTGTAGTTCTATGCATTTTATTTCACTTTTTTTGAAGATGCATGTTGCATTTATTAGATTAAATTGCATTGAAAATCCTGCTATATTTCATAAGTCTGATTTCACTTTAAGTAGACCTCATGTAGTGGGAGCTTTCTGAATTTCGACCGCATTCTTAATACACTGGCAGTCACTACAGAAGTTGCGACATTAAAATTAGACGTAGGCCTAATCAACTAATCAAGTTCAACCATTTTGAGGACTGTCTAAATATAAATATTTGGCGGCACCTGGTGGGGATTTAACATACAACAGAGCGGTTTGTGCATTAGTCTTACCGCAAATGAGGCCTGCAACTTAAACTTAAACTCAGCTAACTGGCATGTCGTTAAACATCATTACATCCCTCACAGCCTCGTTTTCATTCCTGTCAAATATTAAATATGGCGCTACCCTTACTAAGGTCTATGGTTTCAAACTTCCTCTATACAAGTATACAAGTAGATTGTTATAAAGTAGACTTCTAAAGCTTTCAAAGTGAATGCTTCATGTCAACAGCCATCCTAACCATTTTTTTCTTTATTTCTTGTAGCTTGTCACTCCTCAGCGGAATGCTAAGTTGAAGTATTTTTTTTATATATATCTTTTTAATAGGTTTTTATTGAACTAAGATTAATTACATTCATATCGATATTTTATATAATATCATGTCCAGTTGTCCTCTATGTAAATGATAAATTTCTTAACAAAAGTTTCCAATTAAGTAAATTCGTTTGATCCATATAATTCATAATTGGCAACATGCTTTTATGGTTTGGTGATATTTCTCCTATATTGTAAGTATAAAAAAATCTGCAATGATTGTTTCTTATGCCAAATTTACACTGTAAAGGTGGCACAGAAGTGCTTCTGAAGTGGCATTTAGGTATCTTTATGCAGATACCTAAATGTTTAATGCTGCTCAGAGGTGGCATAAATGCATTTACACAGCAATTACAACTGTATATTTTAATACTTGAGGTTGAGGTGGGTCTGAACATGCATAAGTTACACTAAATTTTGAGCAGGCACAGACCTAACTCGGTTGTGAAAAGACACCTTCAGACAAGGTTTTCGTTTATGGGCATGTTTATCTCTGTATGGTGTCTCCAAACCCAGAGCAGTTTAGCTCTGCTTCTGGAGATCTACCTACAGTGGTGTGAAAAAGTGTTGGCCCCCTTCCTGACCATTTGTGAATAATGGTTCTCACTGTGGTTCGCTGGAGTCCCAAAGCTTTATAAATGGCTTTATAACCTTTTCCAGACTGATAGATCTCAATTACTTTCTTTCTCATTTGTTTCTGAATTTCTTTGGATCTCGGCATGATGTCTAGCTTGTGATGATCTTTTGGTCTACTGCACTTGGTCAGGCAGGTCCTATTTAAGAGATTTCTTGATTGCGAACAGGTGTGGCAGTAATCAGGCCAATTGAATAAGCCAATTGAAGTGAAATCTTGTGGTAAATGTTAATCATGTATGGGAAAGTTCAAAAAACATAAAAAACGCCACACCTTGAATATGTCTGTTCTGTTCAGTATTTGATTTGAATGGTCATTTAAATGTTTTTTCTCATTTGTCAGAGTAAAGTTAACCCAGCTTCTTGATCTAAACTTATAATGTTTTTTTTCTGATCTTATTATTATAAAACTTAATTTATTATGATTACTATTATTATTTAAATCCTTGTTACTGAATTTGATTAGTTTGAGCAAGCTTTAAATGAGTAGTAAACCAAAATGGAATAAAAATGTTTAATTGATATCAATTTATTTAATTATTTAATCAAATAATGCATATTTAGCCAGTAAAACCTGAAAAGTTTGGGACCTGAAGGTATTCTGACCACTGATATCTCTCTTGAAACAGACACACTCTTTCTTTTTTTCTTTTTAAGAGCTCAGTTAATGAGCTCATTTATAATTAAAGAGCATTGATTTTGTGCAGCGGCTCTGATAATTTGAAACACACTTTGTGAAGCCTTTATTTCACATGCTTACCTTGTCAAGCACTTGGTGTTGCCCTGCAAGACCGACTAGAAGAAAACAGATCAATGCTCACTGAATATAAATTATGAAATTTGAAGTCATTGCTGTCTTAGTCCTTCAAAAAGGTTTGAATGGAAAATAAAAAAAAGCTTCACAGATGTGATAAACCACTGGGTCTAGCATGATAACAACCCATATTTATTTCTCTCTCTAAAGTGGAAATATATTGATCTCAATGAGTGATCGCTGAAGCCATCAAAAGTCAAATGCAGGTTTGGTTCTTATACCCCCCGACGAGTGTCGTTAGAAGTGAAAGCCTTTTGATGAACAACAATGATTGTGTGATTAGTTTGAACTCTGAACCAGAATCTTGAAAAGCATATCAACAGTGACAAAAGAATAAAAGAAAAACAGTTTGACATTCAGAGGAACAGAAAGATATTAATTACTTCAGAAAAATGTGCTCCCTTTCTGATAACATCTGTTGAAAGGAGAATTTTGTCAGAGTAATGAAAGAAAGATTTTTAAATATTTACTGCCGAAAAGCATTTGTGGAATGCACTGCTATTGTGTGGGTAGTCAAATTGCCAGTGGGATTTGATTCACAAGACCAGAGACCATGCCTGAACATTTATCAGCCATTTACAGAGACAGTAGTGAAACGGCATAGTGAGGTGGACTCTATTAATATTACTCTATTAATATGAATATTATTTACTGTTATCATTGGTTAGGTTTTAGTATTACTGTATGTCAGAGCATCCAGTGTGCTTGTAATCGAACTGCGCCGGTTTCTTCTGCCCATGGTTTAATAATCATAGAGCTTATTAACTTGATGCACTAATGTATATCTGTTGGCAGTAATACTCACAGGATTAGATTGCATATGCCTCTCCTTTCCTCTCCTGTGGGTTTAGAAAGGAAGTGATTTTCCTCACCAGCTGTTAGAAATGATTCTAATCCCACTTGCTCCAATGTTGTGCATCTCTGGGGCTCTATTGTCCTCAGATGTTTGCTGCAACCATAAACGGCACCATCTGATTCATTCTTCTAGGACCAGTTAATTAGATAAATCAAGAGTCCTGCTCAGTTGGAACAAAACACCTGTGGACAAACGGCACTAGTGAAACTGCTCAGACAGGAACACATAGAGATTGATTATTACATGCTGCCTTTGTGAGCAGCTGGTTGTATAAAGGCAACTTCCAAAGCGGAACAGGCTTAGTGGCTGCCCTGTCTTACACACAAGGGAAAATGAAAGAACATGCAAAAAAAAAGAAAAAAAAAGAAAAAAAAAAAGTCTCACAAGTGCACTTCCTCCTTCTTTCACTTGGTGTCAGCAATGCTTTGGCCAGATTATTGGCAACATGAATGCACAGTGTTCATACTTTGCATAAACCTAAAGGTCTCTCAGAACTGAGTTATGTATGATTATATAAGAACTCTTTGTTATATATGATTTTTGTGAATATTTACTACAGTGTGAGAAATAATGTAGCAAACATAAAGAATTGTAATGATCAGTTCTGATTATTAAAAAAATATGAAAAAAGACATAAATACAATTTTTATTTTTGTAGCACATTTAAAACAATTGCCATTGACCAGAGTGCTTTCCAGCATAATACATACAATGAATACAATATAAGCAATTACATGCATCCACACAAACTCAATTAAATCCTGTTCAGTCTAATCAGATCTTCATGGGGAAGATTTAATGTGCACTGGAAGAGGGTTTCATTAACGAGGAGCAACCACAGAAAAGGCCCTGTCACCCTTTGATTTGAATCTAGTTTTAGGAATATGAAGAATTGTCTGGTTAGATCTCATGATCTCATATGCCTTGTGTGTTGATAAGATATCAAAAGGTCAGCACAAAATGGCGTGCAAAATGTAAAAAACTAACAACAGAACATTATAATTTTGAAAAACAATCAGTTAAAAAAATTAAATAACATTACTGAACTAACCAACAATGTAGTAACACAAGTTATAATTTATTTATTTATTCATAATGCAAAACTCATACTCTATAACTAGGCCAACACATTGTCATATGAAGGACCCACTCTTAAAAATAGAGGTTCAAAATGATTTTTTGCTGTGATGCATTAGAAGAACAAATTTGGTTCCCTATAGAACCTTTCAGTGAACAGTTCCCAAAAGAACCACTTTTTTGGTAGTGTGAAGAACATTTTAATAATCTACTGAAACTTTTGTGGAATGGAAAGGTTCCCTTTCGAAAGGGAACTCCACGCTGCGTCCTCTAGAGGGCGCTAGGGGAACGCCTT